CCCCCCCCCCCCCCCCCCCCCCACCGCCCCCAAAAAATGGGGCTTGTTTTAAAATTTTAATGCTCCTCCAAATCTTCCGGCCCCCCATGGGACGTAATAAACGTCGGTCCCTTGAATCGCCTTGGGTTTGGGATGTTAACCGTGGGAACAGCTATATTGTATTGGCTATAATTTGATTACATTTGTTCAGTTTAATTGATTAGTTCCAGTGGCCACAAAGAGAATCGATGGAAGAGTACTTTGAAGCCAAGATCTATAAGAGTAGGCCAGAACTAAGGAACGGCAATGTAAATGCTGACTATCTTTATTCATCAGCGGAAATATTCGAATCTGTTGCCAGTCGCACGGAGTTTGTTTACGATAAACCACGGATAAACCGGCACTCGAGTGCAAATGTTAGCTGATATTTGTGCTTCCAGCTTAGAATACCAGATTTAACACAAGTATACTTTTGAGAATTAGCATTTACGCTTAAACATTACCAGTAAAAGTGAAAATGAGAAGTTTAGCATGGAGTTTGAAGGCAAAAACTTGTGACTTGTGACTTACCGAAGCCACGGTCAGGGAAAAGTCAGGGAAAATTAGATGTTATTCAAGGCCAGGGAAAAGTCAGGGAGTTTTGTATCAGGTCAGGGAGTTTCTAAAACCCTGTACAAAGTCAGTGAAAAGATTCTTACCTTAAGGTTGCCGCAAATTATTTTATTAGATGTTTTTGTATAGACAAAGCAATTCTGTTTTAAAAATTACCTGAGCCATCCTTATTTTTGTTGATTCGTGGCCAGAATAGTCATCCTGCAAGGTCAGTGAAAATTGCTTTTCTGTAAGTGAAAAGTCAGGGAAAAGTCAGGGATTTTTTTTGTTCCGGTGGGTGGCAACCCTGAACTGGAGCCGTCACGCAACGTGTCATCAAAGGTCATCAAATCGTAACTTGCCAACACAAGCAAGGAAATCAAATAATCCACAGAAAAATGTTTTTCATTTTGTTATATCTGTCTGTAAAACTTCAGCTGTTCACAAAGATAATGATTTCAGCAACAGACAGCTATTTAAGTTATATCAATATTAGAATTGTGAGAAAAAATCTGTGCAAGATAACCACCGGGCCCCGGTTAGCCTTACTCCGCGATTAAATTTCTTATTCTCGGGATAACTAGACATATCGTTCTAATCGAACGATAAATTTATTCTTTGCTTTAGGGCGATTTAATCGTAAGTTAGCGCTAATCGGTTTTCAAAAAACTGGGGCCAGGGGATGAATATAATCGATGAGTAATTTTCATTCTTTTAAAGTAACTAGCGCGCGGTTGCTGTGCATATCTGAATTCTAGTTTCGGCTCTGAAATCGGTGGCAACAAAGACTGATGACGGCTTCGTTATCAACAACTGTTTTTACAACAACTGTGAAATTTCTCCCACCGCACGCTAATTAGGCTCGATTTCCACCCGTTTAGTGAGCCTGAGTTCCTTTCCCCCGCACCACGTTGGAATGAGGATCACTTTGATCACAACCGAACACCCAAAACGGCATGAAATCGAGCCTACACGCTAATAGGCTAAATTTTTGTCGTCAATGAGAGGGATTGATGAAGCCATCACGCACCGAGAGCTTGAAACTTTGTTGAACTTTTTACAACGCGTTCAGGCAGTTGTCAGTTCACGATTCAAGCAACAAATTTCAACAAGTGGACAGACGTAAAAAGGCTGGCGTCAATTTGTTAACTTAGACCTGACTAGGGAAAACTAAATGTCGACAGGAAAACGACAGAGATCGATCTGTCATTGCTTGTTTGTCCAATTTCAGTAATCACAGAAAACTGTGTTCCTACGTCATCAGTATTGACATTTTCTCGAACGACAGATGTCTCCCGCGGGAGGCGTCGAACGAATGCGTGACGATAGATTCTTTTTTTTTTTTTTTTCTTTTTGTTTGAAGTTACGTTACAGGAATAAAAATGACGGCAGCAGGCTTGGTTACATCCTTACGGATTAATTCTTATGTTTCATCTTTTTATAGTGCTAGACTGTGCAGAATTCATGCCCAAACGTAAGTGGACTCGTTTGTTTTGGTGTTGGCCCGTGCTAATATTCTACGAGTTGATATTCTTAGTCTAGGTAACTATTCTTGATATTCTACTTAAAGACTTTCAAAACATTACTCGTGCTCATAAATCACAAAATGCACTTGCGCTCATATGATTTGCTATACTTATAGGTAATTATTATTGATATTCTACTTATCAACTCCCGGGGTATCCAATCGATGAAATTGCCAGTTCCAGCTTTTTCAGTACATTGTGTTGTTACGTCATCAGTATTGACGTTTTCGTCTCGAACCCGTACGTCAAAGGTCTCCCGCGCGAGGCGTGGACAGCTCGCAAAAGGAAAGATGTATGTTTTCTTAAATTATTAAATTCTCCGTGAGAAGGGATATGATGACGGCAGTAGGAGTTAATTGTATTTCTTTTTTTCTCTTTTTGCAGTAGGACATTCGGCTACCAAAAGTAAGTAATTTTTTGTTAGTGTTGACCCATGGTAATATTTTGTTTTTGCAGTAATATTAACTTACTTCGCACACTGGTTTTTTTAATTATCAAATGCTTTTAGCTATCGATATCTTGAATGAGAGGGCAGCTGATAATGCTTGATCGAGCTTATCCACTCACCAGTCCCCGGGTGTTCGAAAGCCGATTAAAATAACCCGCGGTTAGCGGTTACTACGTAATTACGGG